GTGTTTGTTTGCCCCTGTAGATTAGGATGATGGTAATACATACTGTTATTCGTGTCTGTTTCGCATTGGAGCATTTAACCAGTCGTCCCAGCGAGATGATCACTACTGCTTTCAAACAGTATACACGTTCTCAATACTTGTTTACTATTCTATAGTCAGCAGAGCACTCCGCACTTGTTCACTACTCGGAAGTCAGATGAACACTCTTGGTTCAATTTGCGGCGGGCCTTAATGTTACCATTTCATATTGTGCAGCCTTGTTTAAGATTATGCCACACGGAGAAGTTGGTAATGTGAAAAATTCTATTTTCTGGGATATAATGCCATATAGTCTGTAGAAAGCTAACCTGATATTCACAAGTATATGCGCCTTTTTCATCTTCAGGGTTGAAGAATAATCTAAGCATGAAGCAGCAATGAAGAATTTTATCATCTCCCTTCTTCGCGTTGGTTCCTTGCTCGGCTTACTTTTCAACGCAGAAAATGGTGGCGGCATGTTCCTCCGATACGTCAGTTGAATTTCGACAGATAGCACGGCGTTATAGCCCAACACACATCCTCTTCAGAAACACAAGACGCAGACTTTATTAAGTCCGTAAGAATTGCATCTCGTCACGCAAAAGCAAGTTCAATAATTGAGCTGCCATCCTGTGGCTACAACGGAAAATAAATGCACTGCAAGAATTGCCGTCTATAGCGGTCTATGGTCTATAGTTTATCAAACTATGTGTGCCCTTGTGGTCCTTCAAAAAAAGACAGAAGGACAAATAAAATTAAAATGAATTGCGTATCACACTATAGCTGGAAATCTCAGAGTTTGGAAATTACACATGGTAATCGTCTTTCACTTTTTCTTCCAGTACTGACATTTTATGAAATTTATTACCCTATCCGCCTACTGACTACCCACTCTACTCTCAGCAACAAAAGAGGGATCTACGTATCTGTGTGAGAAAGGGTTTTCATCACTAACTCGAATAAAAACAAAGTACCGAAATCGACTCGATGTATGTGACAATCTCCGACTTAAGCTTACCAGCTACATCCAAATATAGAACAACTGTGCAAGAATCGGCAGGCTCACCNNNGTGCAAAAATCGCCAGGCTCACCCATCTCATTAATGTGAATACCAATATTTATTTATTTTTTTAGTTAATAAGTTAAAGATTATCCAATTTCTAATAGCCTTGAATTATTAATAAACGAATATGAATCTTATTCTATTAACTTAATTACTTAACACTGATATAAAATTAATTGAATTAAATGAACTTTAATTAATTCATTATATTTTAAAATATAAGTATACTAGTAATAAAATATGCTAAAAATATGATAAATTTGTTTTCTAAGGGAACAAGAGTAAGGTGGTCCGCAGGAGTGTTCTGACTTATAAAAGTGGTCCCCACTTCGAAAAAGTTTTAGAAACGCTGGTCTATAGGTTCTATAGCGGTCTATAGATTAGCTGTAAGGCTTGGTGAAAGGTAGCCATTTTGTGGTTGGATAGAATAAGGAGAAAGTGTTTTTGCAGGTTGAAAATGTTCCTGATTCGTCATGAATTAGAAAAGGTGAGAACTGCAAGCAGTATTGATTTTATTTAGAGTAGTAAGTTTGAAAACTGTGTTGATACAACACTTTGCAGCTAGGGTGTAAAAGATTCTGTAACGTAAGTTTCTAACCACGTGGTGCCCGAGTAATTTTCTACGAGAAAAATGTAAGTTGTATTCGTGAAAGAAAGAAATGTTAAACATAAATTAGTTACTGCTCTACCCTTTATGAAAATTCTCAGTGAAGGACACGTGTCATTTTGTCAGTTGTCTAGTTGTCCGACACTATTGTGCTTAAGTTTTAGGTTAATTTTATTTGCATTTAATAATAACCTCCCAGTAAAATGTTCATCTTACACATAGCACAAATAGTTCTCAGTTATTTCTGTCAAATTACAGTTTGCGAGATCAGTATAATTACTATCTGTTGACAGTTACAGAAATGTGCCAGGGAAGAGATCACAGCTCCAAATGATGGGGAGTGTCTTTAATTTTCGAGGCAGCAAGAACCACCAAGGAAGTCCGACCCTGAAGTTATCCATGAGAAGTGAATTGGCCCCTACAGAAGCGACTGCTAGAGGTATTATAGCAGATGAGAATTAACTGAATATATCAGAACCAGAGGACTGTGTTAAAATTTGTTGATTATTGGAAAATGCAGAAAGATTTGTATTAAAGTGAGGTCATCTCCAACACTAATAGTTGGATCACAGTCCTCAGCTCCATAAGGCTTTGTAATAATTAGTACCTTCTGTTGGCATTTCTGGGCTGAAGTCACTGGAGGAGGAGAAGGAGGAGGAGGATATCATCAATCTGTGACTAATCACAGAGAATTAAGGGAGTTCCCTCTCCAGTTACTGGGTTGCTGATGATGAAGGTTTCTTCCAAGTGCAGCCGGAGTTAGAAGCATTTGGGGGTGTCCGCCACTTCACACCAGTTGTGAGGACTGCCTGATGCCATGTCAGATTCTAGCTCAGAGGTCTGCATCATACAGAAATGCACTTACATGAAGGTTTTCATTTTAGTGGGTAAAAGGTAAAGTTGTCCCTGTGCTTAACTAATTAGACACTATACCATGAAGGCTTATGGGGGGAGTGGATGAATAGATCCACATTTTCTTGATGTCAGCACTAGCTGGAGGTGAGTGGTCATCTTCACACCCCGGCTGCTTTACCACCGGTGAAAGAGCCCCCAGTACCCATTGGATAGGAGGCTGGGTGGGCCCTAGAGCCAGTCTGGATGATGTAGAGAAGAGAAAATTCTTGACCCTACTGGAACTCAAAAGTCCGACCCCACGGTCATTCAGCCGTAGCTGCTCGCTATACCTACTACACTATCCTGGCTCCAGTTTAATGGGTTGCTGACAGTGTTACAAGCAACAGTAATGACAGTACAGTTGACTAAGACGTTTCTCCCATTATGATGGGGTGATGTCACACAGATCGCTGCTCAGAATTATGGAGGTTGTTTACTTCAGGCAGTGCAAGAAGGTACTCTCTGTCTTGTAAGATGGTTGAACCACAATGTTTCAGTGATTAGTCCACATATTGTCAGTTGCAGGGTTCCTACAGGATGTAGGGAACAGCACAAAAATTAATATGGGAGTTTCTTATGGGGGCAACTATTGAGGTGTCATCTTCCGGGATGTGATACTTACATGCCAACATTTCGGAGAAACCTGCTACCATACTGGAAGGTAATATTTCATCCAGTCAGAAATTCCAAATTGAGTGAGAGTGATGAATGTAGTGTGATGCTATTTTTGTTTGTACATTCGTGTCTCCTGTCTGCAGTGTTAGAAGCTTGATATACAGTGTTCCTGTTTGAGCATTACCATATGCAAGTTTCATTTGTGTCAGTTTTTTGAGGACATGTCTGAAATGGGAAGGATCTGTAACAATAACAAGTGGTGCCACAGTGAAATTTTGGCTTATTAACCTGAGGAGGAAAAATGTCGGGCTAAAAGTTATTGGGACCCGTAAGATGCCTGTTACAGTATTTGTGAAAGACTCTGGTACTGTGTGTAGCACAGAATTACTGAGTTTTTGGACTTTTTCTGTTGTCCAGTATTCTAGAAAATAGAAAACAACATTTTGGAAACTGGGTCTGCTTCTGTCCTCAGTTGGGAGGGGGGGGAGACACCTACTTAGTTGGGCACCTTACAAAGAGCTAATCTCCAGTTATTGAGATTAGCTCTTTCTAAGGTGCCCAACTGAGTAGATGTCTTCCCCTCCTCACTTAAGGAAGGAAACAGACCTTTTCTTAGATGTGTTTTCTGTTTTCAGAATACTGGACAATGGATGAAGTCCAAAAACCCAGTAATTATGTGTGTTATACACCATCGTCAGAACCCTTTAGAATCTATTGGTGTTGAGTGCGTGCTGTAAAAATTTCTGGGCATTGTATGATAGTCCTCTTTGCTTAATTTGTATTGCATTTTGTTTTGATGTTATAAAGTTGGTAAAGTGACTGGCTCTGGGTGTGAATCTCTGTAGGAGCCAAGATGTTCCTTTTTCTGTCACATACTAACTGGTTCTCAAGCCCACGGACAGGTACTCTTGGGCACTGTCCCTGGTGCATGAAACTGATTTCTTGTTTGCATACCTGTTAACGTCAGTTGCCGTGAAACATTCTGAAATGTCTGTATATTATGTTTTGCTTGTTCACAGATGGGGACAGAATGAAGGAGCACACCATGGCAGTCTGGACCATATGTGATGCGCACAGGGGGGCTTGCAGAAGGAAGGTAATGGAGTATTTGTATTTCAAAAGTTAATTTCAGTGAAGCTGTTTCTAGTAGTTTTTCCAGTTTGGGCTTAAATGAGTAAGTACGTTACAAATTTTGTGATACTAAACTAAAATTGATACAGCTTTTCATTTCATAAATTTCGCAGTCTAGTATGCTGACAAGCGGCCATTTCTGAAATTGAGTGTATTGGCAGGAAGGAAGGAAAGTGGTAACTTACTTGTTAGTTGATGGAAAAGTCAAAATTTTAGCGCACCATTGGTGTAGCTGCCTGCAGTATGCATTAAGGGCTCTCACATTGCCAAAAAAGAGTAATGGTTGATAATATTTGTGTACAATAATATGTTTATTTCTAATTAAAGAGATTGTTACAGCAGCACGTAAGTTACCTGTAGTGAGTGCAGGTTTCTTTTAAGATGGGGCAGTAAGTTTCTGAATTAAATATACACAATTCTGGTTCTGGTTTGATTGTTTGCAGGTTGGGGAGAACACTGGGACACTTATGGATGGCGTTACATTGGAGAGGACCGAAACATGACAGGAAGATACTATTACAGTATTACAGGAAGAAATGTCAGTTTGATGTGTGTGGCCATGTCAGGCTGATACTCATTTGTCCAACAAACTGCCTCTCTTGCTTTACTATGTTTGGGTAACACATATGCATGATATCATCTGACTTTGTGGCTTGCTTTGATGCTGTCTGTGTGCAACATCAGTTACTATTCACTTGCTTTTCTTTATTGACACTACATGTTTCGGCCCAACCAGCCATCTTCAGATGTACAGGCTGTTGTGATTGTAGAATCTGCTACCCACTGTAATGTTGTTTTGTTTCCGTTATGTGGAGGCCTTGAATTGCATCTGGTTTTTTATTTAGGTGTCCTTTAGCTGCTGGTGTTTGCTTCATGGTTTTGTTTGGCTGTGGCTGTCTTGAATGTTCTTGCTGGGGCAGGAATTTGTTGTGTTGATGGCCAACCACAGCACTACAAAAATGGACAGCTCAAGGACACTGAAATAAACAACAGGTGGTTAACCTAGATGCAATCCAAGGCCTCTGCATAACAGAAAGAGAAAAGCATTACAGTAAGCAGCAGGTTCCTTGATCACAACAGCCTGTACACCTGAAGATGGCCGCCAGTTGGGCCGAAACATATAGTGACGATAAGGAGAAAACTGTGAGAGAATGTTAACTGACATTGCACGCAGACGGCATCAAAGCAAAACGCAAAGTCAGATCTAAGCAGCGCAACAGGATGCTGCTTGATAACAGTTTATGTGAATTTGATTTGTTTCATTTTGGTCCGTCACACTAACATTTACAATTATAAAAGACAAGTCCATCCAGTGTGACTATTTCAGTTTTCTCACTTTATGATTCACTAGCCTTACATGTTTCGATCCATTTGGATCATCTTCAGAGGCACCAAAC